GTCTCCAAAGAAGACATGCAAGTAGCCAAATTAGCACAAGAAAAGATATTCAACATCCTACTTAATTAGAGAAAAGTAAATCAAAAACCACAATGAGATACCACTTCACACCCACTAGAATGGCTATAATAAAAAAGCCAGGGGCTTGGGTTGTAGCTCAGTGGTGGAGCACTTGCCTAGCATGTGAGAGGTTTGATCCTCAGCATCACAAAATATAAAATAAATAAAGGTATGTGTTCACCTACAACTTAAAAAGTAATAAAATATTTTAAAAAGCCAGATGACAATGGGGAGTGACTCCTTAAAGAATACAGGGTTTTCTTTGGGGGTGATGAAAATATTTTGGACTTCATAGAGCTGCTGATCCCATAGCACCATAAATGTACTAAATGTCAGTGAGTTGCATACTTTAAATGATTATTTATGTTATGTGAACTTCATCCCAAATTTTTAAAAAAGAGTAAAAATGATGATAAAGATGTGGAGAAATGGGACACTAATTCATGGCTGGTGGGAGTGTAAACTGGCACAAACTATTTTAAAATGCAGTATGGCTATTCCTCAAAATGTTCAACAAAGGATCACCATCTGCCATAGCAATTCTACTCCTAGGCATACAATCAAGAGAACATATGTCCACACAAAAAATCATCCCCGAATATCCACCGCAGGATTATTCCTAGTAGCTAGAAGGTGGAGGCAACCCGAATACCTGTCAAACTAACAAATGAATAAATACAGTACTTTCATACAATGAGATGTTGCTTTTCAATAAAAAGGAATGAAGTACTGATCCATGCAATAGTATGTGGATGAATCTTAAAAACATTATGCTAAACAAAGGAAGCCAGTCACAAAATACCACACAGTATATGACTCCATTTATATGAAATGCCCAGAATAGGCAAACTAGAGACAGAAAGTAGCTTTGTGATTTCCCAGGGCTACACGGAAGGGAGAGTAACTGCTAATGGGTTTGAGGTGTCTTTTGGGGGTGGTAAATTGGTCTAAAATGAGACTGCAAGTGGTAGTTTCAAAATTTTAAAAGGGTGAACTTGTTGGTATGTAAATTACATTTCAAGAAAGCTGCTATTAAAAGAAGAATGGACACTACTGTAGCAGACCTTGTAGGATCTCATAAAGGACTAACTTCAGTCTAACATGCAAACCACACTCTCCTAGGCTTTTTATTACAAAGTATTAGCAATGGTTCAGGAGATGTGAGCAACCCACATTATGCATACAGATAATTTTTTTATATTAATCATCCTGCCTGGCCCAGCAGTGACACACTGAGAAAAACAATGGAACAGCTTTCCACCCACCAGGATGACTCAGCGGGAACTCAACTCAGCTCTCTACTCCTTGCAATATCTGTCCTGGCACTCGGGCCTTTTGGGAAAAAGTGGTATGAGAGTCTGCCATGTAAGGAGAATGGGGTAGCCTCAAGGGTTGGCTATTCAAGGTGTGGTGACTCAACTATTGCTTTAAGATCAAGATTGTTATGGGCATCTATATAAGATCCAAGAGCCTGAGCTGCCAAGATTAAACAAGACCTTCAAATGGCTCCTCCACATGCTTTATTTATGTCTACCCTTCCAGAGCCAAGGGTACTAATTATATCCATCACCCCCAGAAGAAAGTCCAGGATAATATTGTTAATGATTATAAAACAGGACTATACATCTTCGACAAACCTCACTTGAAAGGGTAGAGCTCAATTCCCCTCGAGAGTTGAATGGATTTAGTGACTGGCTTCTAACAAACAGAATATGGTATAAGTGCCTGTGTGCGACTTCCCTGCTCTCTACGTGGACCACTCAGAAAAGTCAGCTGCCATGTCATGAGGACACCCAAGAAGCCCTAGGGTAAGGAACCATGCCCTCCTATTAACTGTAAGGAACTAAGGACCTTGGTCAAGAGCCATGTCAATAGGCCATGGAAGTAGATCCTTCAACCCCAAGGAAGACTGTAGTCCCAAATAACATGATTAAATCTTATGTAACCCTCAGCCACAACCACCTAAGCTGCTCTTGAATTCCTGACCTACAAACACTGTGAGATGTTTGACAGTTAACACTGCTGTGTTTTGAGGTAATGCACTCCAAAGACACAACTCACCTGTTCAAGGCCACCAGTGTGTCCCACCTGGTTTAAGTGGTTCCTCAGTAGCTGTCCAGGGTCATTCGATGTGTCCCGAGCAAACAGGAGCACAGAGAAAAATGGCACTTCCTTTCCCTTCTCTTTATCATCATATAGTTCAATGGCTCTGTTTAGCATTAGAAATTTTACAGCTTCATAGAGGCAGTATTCCTCTTCTTCATTTGTGAACAGTTCATCACAAGCCATTTGCCTTGCTTCAGCAGTTCTCATTTCAGCCAGGCTTGCCCACTACAATAAGGAAGTTATGTAATAGTTAGAATTTTTGTTCTAAAAATCCCTGGTATACTTCCATACTATGAACACAGAATTATGTTCAAAAGTAGGGACTATAAATCATCCTAATGTAGCCACAATGTTTTTAAGTTTCAGAACAATCAATGGTACTCTTAAGATCACACAACTCCTAGTTCAGCCTTTCCCCCATTAATCTAAAACAGAAGCACAATGCGATAAGGAGAAGCCCTGGGCCACGGTATGAACTTCTGACTCCTCTAACTTCCCAGGGGATGAGACTGAGCTAGGCAGGCAGAGATACTAATGAAAAAGCTACCGTGTTTATGTGAGGCCTGTGTGTGGAGCTGTATGTAGCAGGGAGCTAAAACTACCCTTTGAGGGGTTTTCACAAACAGTGACCACTCAGAAACAAAACCTACCATCTAAAATGGAAGATGGCAAAGAACACTATGGGATCTTTAGCTTATTAAACTTACCCTCTAACCTATTAAAAATATACATGAGCTTCATATAAATAAATCCATTCTGACTCCTAAAAAAGCAGAGTATCAGGTATTCAGTTAGTATAGGTAGACTTCTTAAGTGAACAAGAAAACCCTATAAATATATGTGCTTTTAAGTTACAGTGAATGAGTAAATAGATGACAATATAAATAACAGTCCTTTTGAATAATCAATAATTTGTGTACCTTTCAAAAGCCATCAGAGATTTTAAATTCAATAATTTTTAATGGTAATGACTAAACAGAACCCCCCAAATATTTAGGCTAAAAGCTAGAACATGTTGTCCACATTTCATATTTTCTAAAAGTAGACCAAGTTGACAGTCCAGAGCATGGATCTAGAGTCAGAAAGTCAGGATGGAAACAAGGCCTCACCACCAAGCAACTGATGGCTTTTGCAGAGTGTTTAACCAAACTCTGGGCCTTGGTTTCTTCATCTATAAAACAAGACTGATCATAACAACACCAATGTCATGATTGTAGCAATAAAACAACATGTGAAACTTAAGTGTACATCATGGCACAGAGGACAGTTAGTAATACTGGCCGAGATAATTAATGAATAAGTTTAATGTGATTACAAACTGGACTCACTTAAACAGTCCCAAATATGAGACTTTAATTATAGTGGTCATACCCAATAAAGCAAAATTAGCATTTTACCAGATCCTTCTTATTACCTATAGCTCTGCTAAGCACTCTCCCACTCACTCACACAAGGCCACAGCCCTGCCCTCAACCTTCCACTGACCCAGGAGTGAGAAGGCACAGGCATCCAGTCCCTCAAAATCCTAAGTTCCACTCCAACAGGTAATGAGAACAGACCCCCTCTTCCTTTCTCTCTCCCACTTCTTTACAGTGGAAGATGAAACTTCTTTTGACAGTGTACTTTCCAGTAAACATTTCTTATCTTTGTATTAAAAACTAAGTTTGAGAAAGTCAGGGCCCCAGTTTATTCATCAACAAAGCATTCACCAAATGTCTATTATGTATCAGGCTTGCTGCTAAAGGACTAGGTGCAAAGGAAGAAATAGGGTGTCTCTCAGGGATTTCAAAGTTGAACAAGGGCAGAGAGACTAAATTTGAGTGAACAGATCACCACTTGAGGTGATGCTAGGAAGGACCTCTTGTCTAACTTCCCTTTACCTGACCCCTCTTCCACCAACAAAGCCTGGAACAACTGATGGGCCCTAAGCTCACTGTACCTAGAAAGGGAACTCCAAGTTGCTCAGAGCAAGCAACTGAGAAGTCAATGCAGGCCCACGTACAAGCAGGACACCTAACTCAGAGGAGAGAGCAAAATCACAGGGAGAATTTTAAACACAAAGTTTAAAACACCAGGAAGCACAGACCAAGTTCTCCCTGAATTGTCTCAGACAAATTCTTAGGACACTTTTCAAACAATAAGTTACTAAATCTACTTAATGAGAAGTCACTGGAAACAAAGTAAGTATTTAAGATACAGGGATAGAATATTAAACCATAACTGGGAAGAACTTAATAAACCTGAGTTAGTTTTATTGCTATATAAGAAATATGAACTAAATCGTATCTCTGAAACTTATAAATATGAATTAGAACAAAGATTACATTTGTTAAAGTTTACCTTTAAGAAAGTTAAATATATTGTTATAGATACACTAGCATACAACATCTCAACCAAGAATAGATAATGGTGATATTCCTCCATTTTACCAAAGACCTCATGGGAACAGTTTGCATTCACTTAAAAATTTGAGATTCCATCTTACTCCAGTCAGAATGGCAATTATCAAGAATACAAGTAACAATAAATGTTGGCAAGAATATGTGGAAAAAGATCCAATCATACATTGCTGGTGGGACTGCAAATTGGTGCAACCACTACGGAAAGCAGCATGGAGATTCCTTAGAAAATCTGAAATAGAACCACCATTTCACTCAGTTATCTCACTCCTCAATATATATCCAAAAGACTTAAAATCAGCATATTACAGTGATGGAGCCACATCAATGTTCATAGAAACTCAATTCACAATAGCTAAGCTATGGAACCAACCTGGGTGATCTTCAACAGATGAAAGGAGGTATATATGAATGGATATAACAGAAAATGAGATATATATATACACAATGGAATATTACTCAGCCATAAATAAGAATGAAATGATGGAATTTGCCAGGAAATGGATGGAGACTTTATGCTAAGTGAAATAAGCCAATCACAAAAAACCAAAGACCAAATGTTCTATATGAAATATGGATGCTAACACACACTAAGGATATAGGAGGGAAGAATAGAAGTCCTTTGGGTTAAACAAAGGGGAATGAAGAGAAGGGAGGGAGAACAGGATAGGAAAGACAGTAGAATGAATCAGACATAACTTTCCTATGTTCATATATGAATACACAACCAGTAAAACTCCATCCCAAGTACAACTGCAAGAATAGGATCCTAATGAGAATAAGTCATACTCCATGTATGTATAAAGTCATGTTTATCTAAAAGATAAACATGTCATGTTTATCTAAAAGAATAAATTTTTTAAAAATTCTAAGTAGTTATATAGATAATAATGTCCCTATATATCAAACTATATGAATTGTAGAAAAGCATATTGATAGAATAAAAAATCGTTTATTCTTTTTTCCCCCATTGGATTAGTTTATTCTTATCATGAATAAAATGTAAAAGTGAAAGACAGCTGTTCATGCAACAATAAAGACAAGTTTCTGGAACAATATTTGTAAAGAGTAAAGTGTGTGTGGAAATGGGCACCATCTTCAAAGGCATGTTAATTAATTAGAGGGCCTTTTTGAAAGAGTAGTTGACATCAAAATTTAAAATGTATATATTCAATTCATAAAGAGCTAAAAAAGTAATGTATATTTGGATATATCATATGGTATCATTGTGGTTTTAAAATGCATTTTAAAATACAAATGAGTGGTGTCATGTTCTATGTACTCCATCTTTTTTATTATATATTGTTCCAAAAATCTTTTGTTCTTAAAAAAAAAAAAAATTCATCTAAAAACTAGCCAATTCCAGCCTCTAGTCTTAAGCCAAAATAAAATTCTTTTCTTTCCAAAATAAAATTATTTTCTTTATAAACTAAAATAAAAATAAATAAATCGGCCAAGCGTTGCTTGAGACAAGAGTCTTGCTATGCTGTCCTGACTGGGCTCCAGCTCTTAGGTTCAAGCAATCCTCCTGCCTTGGCCTTCTGAGTAGCTAAGACTACAGGTGTGCACCAGTGTAACCTGCTCAGCCAAGAGCATCTGATAACCCACTGAATAAAGACTAAGAACTAGTATGCTGGGGAAATCAGGAGTAAGAGCTCTGCACTAGTCAGAGGCAGGAAATCACACTGTCCAAACCTTCTTCCTTAGCAAGGTGAGGGATTCCTTAATTTTTTCAACCAGGTCCTCGTTCTTCCCATCAAATTTCAGCCCAAGTTTCCACTGCTTGATCCAGCTGTATTTGTGTATCAGTTTTTCAGGTAACTAGAATAATAAGAAACAAGAGAGATAAACAGGTGTTAATCTTCCAAGAAAAATCCATCACTTGATTCAAGCTGGAAGAAATCATGAAGCCTATAAAACCTTCATTTCCAGAATTAATTCCTGCAAGTCTGTCATGTGGGTGTAGGCTGGAGGACCTAAATATTTAAGTCAGGAACTTAAGAAGTACTACCATGCAGCCGTCTACCAAAGAGAACAGTGCTTTTGGCTGACACACACAGGCAGAGTCCTGCCTGCATGACACCAACCACAGCCAGGCATATTCCTCAGCAACTGTAAGGATGAGCTAAGACAGCACCCATACTTCATCTTTCCTGAAACCTGGGCTCACTGGCAGCCTTTCCCATCACTCCCTAGTACACTGCTCAGGAAGGCACTCCCAGGCAAGGGAGGTAGTCTTGGGTAAAATCAAAACCTGCTCCTTTCCTACTAGGAAAATAAAGCCTAATTTCTAATTCCTGAAAAAATTCACTAAAAAAGTGGAAAAATATTTTTGTTAAAACAAAATTAACACATACACTCAAAATTTTAACAAGCAAAGAAACAACAGTATTTAGTTTAACTGCCTAATGAATTCAGTAAGATTTAAAGAAACAAAAAAGACAACAGGAATAAATAGCAGGGACTAAAGCAGCTGGGGCTGCTTTATTCTTTTTCATTTTGACTACCTTATTGTTGAAAGAATGACCTCTAAACTACTATCATGATGATTTCTTTCTTTTTCCTTGGTTCCTGGAGTATTTATTTGGTTTCCCTCTACTTATCAATAAAATCTGCAGTTTGAAAGGCAAGCTGAGACACACTGGTAACTGGTGACCATGGGAAATTAGACTCTCCCAACATCCCTGGGTGTGTCGGGAGAAAAATCATATAATTAGGCTGGGCATAGACATGTCACTTCACTGCTACAAAAATTTAGAAAAAAAAAAAGTTCACTTTTTGGTCAAAAGTTCATTAAAAAATAACTGAATCCTCCAGCATCCTACGTTGAACTTGTTTAACAGTTATAAATACAGTCATACAGGAAGCCGTGTGTTCCTATCTAAGACTTAAAAGACCTTTTCATGTATGGTAATTCTGGTTGCACCTTCTCAGTCTACAGCAATCATGTGAAACCAAAGTGGTTTCATTTCTGCAAAAAACAGAAGCACAATAGGGATGTAAATGACTCCACTGTTACAATGATGGCGACCTACACCACTAGCTAAGCAGAGGAGCCATCATCTTATGACCAATGACCCACCTAGAAACTCTAACAGCATGTCCTATACCTCAGCAACATGGGGACCCTTCTGCCAAACCTTCAATTCAGCCTCAGAGTATTTACCAGCGTCTAATGTGCCCTCAAGTGGCAACAAGATGAAATCACAACTCAGCACAGAGAACTATTTTGTTCCATGATGTGGAACATATAAAAGAAAATTAAATGTAGTATATAATACATAATCATATGATCTATAAAAGCAATATAATCATAGTATTATAATTATAATATTGATTTACATTATTAATATAATATATAAGCTCTGGGTTATTTTCTCCAACCTATCTTAATGCATTTGTGTCACTTCATTGAAATACTTGAAGAATTGAAAATTTGGGATTTAAAACATCTAAGCAGAAATTATTGGCTCCACAGATGTGAGAGGAAAATGAGAGGTAAAATGCAGTCAAAAAAGACAGCTGAGCATCCTGACACCATACAGTTATCTAAAAGGCAAGTACAAGAATCAACTAAAATGTAAAGACCGCAAAGATCTAACCAACCACACAAAAGAACAAAGTTCCTCATTTCTTTCACTCATTGGGCAACCTGTTGCTAAAATGATAATCCTCCTTAGGGTTATTTCCATATACACGGGGCCAGCTGTCCTGTATCTCAGCAACATGTGGACTGAAGAAATTGTTAAAATTTAGACCTGAAAACTAAAGAAAAGAATAGAGGTGTTAGAATTACTTATTCAGAAGAAAAAAAGTAAATATAACTTTAAATGCTCTCAGGAGTCAAAACTCATGCAACACAAAAATAGCCATCCTTTTATACTACACAGAGACAGGACTTTTGTAAGAATAAAGGAAACTTAAGCAAGAAACAAGAACCGAATAAGAAACAGTGATTGTAAATACTCAAACAAATATTTGAACAGTGAATACATGAATTAGGCTTCACTTCATTTATGGCTGTTTAACAGCCAGCTTTTCTCTAGCACATGCCTATAATTCTTGACATCATGATAGAAAGGCAATAACAAAAATATGTCGTACCCAAAATGAACTTATAAAAAAAAAGCTTTGGTATCTTGCCCTAGCAAACATTGTGACAAGACCCACTTATTCAGAGACATTCTAAAACACAGCAAACTTAGAAACAAGAGAGTCCCTGTTATAAAGAATGTCCCCTGCTCAGGGATCAAAGTGCTATCCCAAGTTTCAGAATAGCCAGACCTAGCCATCTCCAAGGTTGGGGTCAAGGTCAGATGATTAGACTATAGTCAAACGTGCAGACTGAGATTTGGACAGAAACAGAAACAAAAAGCCCAGGCAGTGACAGGAGATAAGGAGGCAACTGAATTGTCAGGAGGGGCAGGAAGGACAAAGCTCAATTCATAGGCAGGGAACAGAGCAAGGCCAGTGAAGCTGAGCACCAGCTCAGTCCAGGGTCTCTTCCTCTGAGCCCAGATTCAGGGGACGGTTGCTCGGTCAAGCTCTCCTGTTTCCTGAAACCAAATGATGGTCTACAAGAGAAGGAAGATGGCAAAATCCAAAACCTTTCGTTTGTACTGAGAAAACACCTCTCAGTACAAACGAAAGCAATATACAGCTAGCTAAAGGTTTCAGGCCTTACATACTTGTTCACTAAGGAAGCTGGACTCAAGAGTGGACTGTCTCAGGGAAGAGCTGGTGGAGGAGCCAGAGAGAGAAGAGGAATGGGAAAGCACATATAGGAGGTCCGAGAGATGATCCAAGGGATGACCAAGAGGAGGTTAAAAGCAGTGTTGGTCAAGCACAACCAGACTAAGTCTACATATCCTTTCCTTCCCTGACTGGCACCTCAAATACAAACCTGGTGGTCACCCATCAGGCCTCAGGAGGAAAATAACAAAACAGAACCTGTCAAGAAAGTATTCAAACCATGTTAAGTTCTAGGAGGCTAGAACATCAACACAGGGGCAAGTCGTCTAGGTGAATGAGAGCAAAAAAAGAGTTAAATGATTTTTTCAGTGCACAGTCAGCAGAACCAAAGTTCAATAAATGTAAATACTGAACTCACAAGCAGGTAGAATGAACCTTTTCTCTTTTTGACACAGGCCTCTCAGCATTCAACAAAGCTTAGATGAAGAAATACCACCCCTATGAACAAAAAATTACACTGTGTTCCCAAGGGGAAAATATACTGGCTTATACAGAGAGAAAATGGAAGAAATTAGAAAGAGAATCTAGGAATTTTAAAGCTCTTTCACAGTATTCAAATTAAGTCAGAAAAACAACACACGCATCATATTCTAATACCAATCATAGACAGAACACCATCTACGTATCCTATTTTTAATATGGCAAGTGGTATTATCCAAGTATAGCCTGTCAGGGCATTGTGCTTTACTTTTTTTTAGGGTATACTTCATATGTTTAATTACTTAGCACAATATTTGTGCCAGAGATTCCTGAAAAAGTATAAGAATTCAAATTCAATGCCAACAAAAACCATAAATGTAAAGGTCTCTTAAAGGTTAAAGGTTCAACAAGAAACATACGTAACATGAATGAGGATTTTGTTGTAATATATAAATTAAGCTATGACCATAGAGCACATAAGTTAAAATACACCCCACAGAAAGTGAACTCAGTTCACTACTAATAAATGTCATCATGTGCAAAGGAAAAAAATAGCTTAGTGTATCAATTTGTTTGGGAATCTTCACAAAGACATAATAAGCTAATACCAAAAAATCTGCTTAAGGTGACGTCTTTGCTTAGAAATAAATATCTTTCCCAGATGTCAGTTTGCCTGTTTCAATAGGTGTGATGATTGTATATTGGTTTATAAAATAGATCATCATGAAGCAGATAGCTGGTTCCACTCCACCCACCAGTCCTGGTTTTGTCCTGTAGAGTCATATGATCCCTTATCCACCAAAAACAGTTCTTATTAGCTTAGCCACCAACAAGTTTCTTTTAAAGTTATTTTTATTCTAAACAAGTATACTTTATTCTAATCTTCTTCTATTCCCAGAATGAGATGAGTCAATCTTGGTCACATTCTCATCTCCTACTGAAGATACAGGCACAACTCAACCCCATCCACACAATAGGCATGGACCAGCCCAGTTCACAGCTGAGCTGTTACCACTTGATTTTTAGAAGCATTCCTTTTAAAGTGCAGCCAGGGCTTTATTATCACTGCTGGCCAACACACTTCATGTGGGTGCACAGTGGGCTTACAATTCATTAACATCCCAATATCTTTCTTTCCCCTTTATAAACTGCTTTTAGGCAGGTCTCCCACAGAGAGCCCTTCAGGGTTTGGGGTGATTTTTTTTTTTTTTAAGCATAGAACTTTAGATCTTCTTCCAATTAATGTCAGTCTGTTCTGACCAATCATTCCTATTATGTGATCTTATTTGTGTCAAGACACACAAACCCTTGGATCCCAGTATATATCTATCGTGTAGAAGATTTAAAATACTAAAGATGATCAGGCCTGGGAGCTTCTCCCCATGTGATATTAACCATATCACCATGCAGAGAGTACTATTCCTTGAACTGCAGCTAAAATGAAAGAAATACGTATTCTAAAACCCTGGCAGGTTCTCAATTACTAAAATATACAGCCCATGTAATATAAACATCAATACTGAAATTAAACTGTTCCTAAGTGATTTTTATGCAATCTAAACAGTTGTTTTCTAATTCAGCTGAATTGTTTAAATTAACTTTTATCATTTTCTCTTCTGGGAGATACTAATTATTTCTGCTTATTTTACTATGTGAAATCATACCCGACACAAAAACTTGAATAAACCCACATGCTGATGCCATCCTGCAGACACCGGCAGATAGCAGGAGCAACAAAGGGAAGTCTCCCAAAAACTCTCTGAAACACTGCGGATTCAAACCTGTAGCAGCAGCGTACCAGCGTGAGCTCCGGATCCTGAAGCCAGAGGGGAAGCGCAGCCAGCTGGCTCATTGCCTGGAACAGTGTGGCCCTCAGTGCACAGTAATTATCGCCACGGACTCGCCTTATGGAGGTGAATTTCTGAGAAACCTCCTCGTAGCCCTGGGAGAAAGTATCAAAGAATTTTAAATGGTGGTCACTGGCTTCAGAGAGCATGAAGAGTTCCATTCCTGTGGGGAAAAAAATTATCCTATTCCAGATCACTGGAAAAATGAAAACAAGACTGGCTAAATCCTTTGTGAGACATTAAAATTCCTTCTTATTACTGTGACTTAATGATGGGAAGATGTTCTGAGAAATGCACCACTAGGCAACTTTATCCCTATGCAGGCATCATATACTTGCACAAACCTAGACATACACTACACATCTAGGCTATACGGCCTCTTACTGGCAACATTAGCAGTGGATTCTGTATGTTTAAAAGCCATGATGAGATTAAATTAAGCACAGGAGGAAATGAGGCAATGTAGAGTCAGTAAACATGAAAAATATGAGGCTGCTTTTGTCATAACATGGCAAACTGTTTTATAGTAAACACTCTAATGATCAAAAGTATAGCAAAAAATAATAAATATGTCAAACAGTAACTGTCACATATTACCATTATCAAGTATTTTGTAGTATACCCAAATGTATGTGTAATACTTTCATATGGCTGGCAGCACACTAGGTTAGTTGATACCAGCATCACGAAACATCTGAGTAATGCAGTGTATCGCCATATACAACAGATACATCAATGGGTGAGATGAATTTTTCCTTCATATTAATTTCTTCTCTTTTATAATCCTGCAGGATCATCATTATATATGTGGTCTGTTGTTGATCAATACATTGTTATGGGGTGCATGACTGTGTATGAATGTGTGTGTAAAAATCTACATGCTAGGAAATGTCTGAATAATCTGATAGACCTTTTTTATTCTGGACACAATATCTTTATTTTATTATTTATTTTTATGTGGTGCTGAGGATCGAACCCAGTGCCTCACACATACAAGGCAAGTGCTCTACCACTGAGCTACAACACCAGCCCGAGACCCTTTTTTTTTTTTTCCAAGTAAACTGAAGTCACTCTTGCTCCATCTGAAAATAAAACAAGGAAATGAAAATGTTCAGTGCCATGCTTGGGCATTCAAAAACAGCTATCCAAATAAACCATTTTGAAGCATATTTCAAAAAAGTCCTGGTGACTGGGTCCATAGGCTTACATGAGGTCCTGATTTCTTCAGCTGAACACTGTTATCACCAGGACTGACTCTGCTGACCCCAAGTCCAGTCAGCCCCTTCACTTGTCCTGTTCTTGACAGTCACTTGAAACTCTACTTGCTACCCTGCATTTACACAAAGAAAGAGGTATCACACTGGAGTAGGCATAATGCAGATCCCTCATTTTGGGTGCTAAGAACTAGAACCTTTCTAGTAGTTGTTTTCAAAGTTTGTGTTTTAGGATGCCATTCTACGTGAAAATTAAAGGACTTCTTTCCAACAATGAAAATTTGAAAGTTGCATTTGTACTTAGTGATCCAACCAGTACAACATATAAAAACCATCAGGCCGACTCACATCTACCAATATGCACCAGTTCCCTCTGACAGACCCCTAATTATCCCAGGAATATTTACCATGGCAGATGCAATTGCAACCGAACCTTCCCAAAAGCACAGAAAAATCGCAGTATTTAGGAGAAGAATTAAACTTTTAAAATTAAATTTAGATTTATACACATTTATGTCCAAGAGTATCCAAACGAAAAGTTAGAAAATTAAGCAAATAAGAACTATAATAAAATTGAGACCAAAGTATTGCCAGGCACCCTAGTTACCATGCTCTAATTAAGCCACAAGTCCTGATGAGATATTCCTCAAACGAGGTCAGAAATCAAATCTTTTCTTTCCCTAGAATTAATTCCATAGAGAAATAATTTTAGTACAAGTTCCAAAATATGGAATATTTGGGTAACTCGAACATCTTTAATAATGGACTTTAAGATGATAACTATTTAAAGAGACCCTATGGAGAGAATGAAGTCACAAAATAAAATTATAAGTCAGAGAAAGCATTTCTGGGAAAGATGAGAAAATATAGTTTAGATATCTAGTTTTTTGGTTATCTAGTCTGGTACAGGGCAAATAGCCCCCCAAGTATACATATTTTTAACCTGGGCATGAATTGAGAGCTCTGAATATTTTGTGATTGAGGACACTAATAAGTATCTAAAACACCAGAGTCTGTACCAGACTTGAAAGAAGCAGGGCTCACCATTTGCTCTCAGAGGTTTCCGAGTGGCAGCCACATTTGAATAAAAGCCCCTAAGCAACAGGGGGCATACTTAAAGATGAGCAATATTTCTAGAAAAACAAGCTATAAGGAAAAGAATAAATGTATTTATATGCTTAAAAATTTAAATTCTAAACAAGGAAGTTCTGAACAAAAAAATTAAGACATTTCTATCAAATAAGACAGATCCATATCCCTAATACACAAGAAGTACATTTGAATTTATAATGTAAACAATCCCAATTTTAGGTGGACATCTAAATCCCAATTTTAGGTGGTACCAGAGATTGAACTCGGGCACTCAATCACTGAGCCACATTGCCAGCCCTATTTTTATATTTTATTTAGAGACAGGGTCTCACTGAGTTGCTTAGTACCTTGCTGTTGCTGAGGCAACAATCCTCCTACCTCAGCCTCCTGAACCGCTGGAATTACAAGCATGCACCAAGGCACCTGGCTGACACTGCTGTTTTTGTAGCTCATAGTCAAATAGCAGTAATAATTCCACATGGTTTGACCTAATAAAGAATGTTAGAGTCCCCAAGATCAGCCCCATAGTCTTGAAGAATACATTAGGGTTGCCAGTTTATGCAACAGAACTAAGAAGGGGCAGCTCCTGGGAAACACTAATGAAGGAAACTACTCCAAATGCCTCTACTTCAAGGTATACAAGAGGTTTCTAGGCCCCTAGGATTAGAGAGCATCTGACCAGACCCAAAGGATATGGAATTAGCCTGCCCTTATCCTTAAGGCTTTTACAACACCAGGCTAATAAGGGCATTCTCAAATGGCCCTAAAACTCACCCAAATCTGAGTAACACAGTCATTTAAGAGTTTTTCAAAGAAATTAAGTTACTGAATAAATGATGCATGTTCTATAATAATATTGTGACTCCAAACAAGGT